CCTGCTGGGCTCCGGCGATCCCTCCGCCTCAGCCTTCTGAGTAGCTGGAACTACAGGTGCGCGCTACCACGCCCGGCTCATTTTGATCTATTATAGAGATGAGGTTTCGCCAAGTTGCCCAGGCGGGTCTCAAACCTGCAGGCTTAGGCAATCCACTCACCTCAGCCTCCCAAAGGCGCGGGATTACAGGCTGAGCCACCGAGCCCGGCTGGGACATATTTTTTTTAGTTGGACTCTCACTTTGTCACCCACCTGGCCACCGCAACCTTGACCTGCTGGGCTTAGGTGATCCTTCTGCCTCAGTGGAATTACAGACCCACCATGCCCAGATATTTTTTTGTGATTTATTGTAGAGACAAGGTCTTACCAAGTTGCCCAGGGTGGTCTCAAACCCCTGGGCTCCCAGAGTGCTAGGATTACAGGCTGAGCCACCGTGCCTGGCCTGTTTTGTCTCTTTAAAAAAAAATTTTTTTTTTTGAGTTGGAGTCTCTGTCGCCCAAGCTAGAGTGCAGTGGCACACTCATGGCTACCACAGTCTCAACCTAGTGGGCTCAGGAAATCCTTCTACCTCAGCCTTCAGTAGCTGGAACCACAGGCATGCACCACCATGCCCAGCTAATTTTTTGATTAATTATTGGGATGAGGTCTTGCTAAGATGCCTAGTCTGGTCTCGAGCCTCTGGGCTTAGGCAATCTTCTTGCCTCGGCCTCCCAAAATGCTGGGATTACAGGTGTAAGATAACTGCACCTGGCCAAAAAGTTGATTTTTTTTTTTTTTTTAATTGAAGGAAACAGGGCTTATTACTTGAGAAATAATGGTCTGGATGCTTGAGTCTTACCATTAACTATAGTGTTTTGTGGTTGCATGGCATCCTTTCACTTTTCTGAACCTGTTCCCCATCTGCAAAATGGGTTTGATATCTATCTTACATGTTTTTTTTTTGTTTTGCTTTAAATTGGGGTCTCACTATTGCCCAGACTGGAGTGCAGTGGCACCATCACAGCTCACCACAACCTCGACCTCCTGCACTCAGGCGATCCTTGCATCTCAGCTTTCCAAGTAGCTGGGACTACAGGCATGCACCACCATGCCAGCCTAATTTTTAAATTTTTTTGTAGCTACATCTCTCTATGTTACCCAGGCTGGTCTTTTTTTTTTTTTTTTTGAGTTGGAATCTCACTCTGTCACGGACTGGAGTGCAGTGGCTGCTCCCAGCCACTGCAGCCTCGACCTGCTGGGCTCCAGCGATCCTTTCGCCTCAGCCTTCCAAATAGCTGGAACTACAAGTGCACACTACCACGTCCGCCTAATTTTTTGATTTATTGTAGAGATAAGGTCTCACCAAGTTGCCCAGGCAGGTCTCGAACCTGCGGGCTCAGGCAATCCACTCACCTCAGCCTCCCAAAGCACGGGATTACAGGCTGAGCCACTGAGCCCAGCAGGCTGGTCTTGAACTACTGGGTTCAAGCAATATTCCTGCTGCAGCTTCCCAAAGTGCTGGGTTACAGGCATGAGCTACCACGCGTGGCCTGGGTTTTTAAAAGAGTAAAATGTGAGGCCAGACATGGTGGCTCACACCTATAATCCCAGCACTTTGGGAGGCTGAGGTGAGAGGATTGCCTGAACCGATGGGTTTGAGATCAGATGGGCAACTTGGTGAGACCCCATCTCTAAAATAAGTCAAAAATTAACTGGGTGTGTTTGCGTGTGCCTGTAGTCCTAGCTACTTGGAAGGCTGAGGCAGAAGGATCACCTGATCCCAGCAAGTAGAAGCTGCAATGGCCATGAGTGTGCCATTGCATTCCAACCTGGGCAACAGAGTGAGACTCCAACTCAAAAAAAGAAAAGATCACCAGATGATTAGTATAAGAAAATTTAAGGCTGGACTCGGTGGCTCAGCCTGTAATCCCAGTGCTTTGGGAGGCCGAGGTGAGTGGATTGCCTGAGTCCGCTGGTTTGAGACCCACCTGGGCAACTTTGCGAGACCTCATCTCTACAATAAATAAAAAATTAGCCGGGTGTGGTAGCACACGCCTGTAGTTTCAGCTACTTGGAAGGCTGAGGCGGAAGGATCGCCAGAGCCCAGCAGGTCGAGGCTGCGGTGGCCGGGAGCGGCCACTGCACTCCAGTCTGGGCGACTGAGTGAGACTCCAACTCAAAAAAAAAAAAAAAAGAAAGTTTAAGAAGCATTCTTAGACCAAAGGCAACTGAAATGAGAGTAAGGTAAGATGATGTGAGAATCCAAAGTGGCTGGAAGCAACTCCACTCACCATCTCATTTGTACCTACAAGACCAATACCTTGGAGGGGTGATGTTTGAACTAAGCACCATCTGGAGGGAGGTGAGGCAAGAGAAGGTTTTGAACTTTATACTGTCAAAGACGTTTAAATAATTATTTTATGCCTGAGCCCGCGGGTTCGAGACCCGCCTGGGCAGCGAGACCGCATCTCTACAATAAATCAAAAAATCAGCCGGGTGTGGTAGCGTATGCCTGTAATTCCGGCTACTTGGAAGGCTGAGGCGGAAGGATTGCCGGAGTCCAGCAGGTCGAGGCTGCGGTGGCCGGGAGCGGCCACTGCACTACAGTCTGGGCGACAGAGTGAGACTCCGACTCAAAATAAATAAATAAATAAATAAATAATTATTTTACTGATTATACTAAAGACTAATAATGAAAGTTCCATACACTAAAGCTCACCTACTTCACGATCTTCCTGATAATCATTCTTGGTGTTCCTCCAACTTCTGCTGCAAAATAATATCCTTTCTGATTCTAGTACCAGCTCTTAGCCTAGAATTATCAATCATGGTTAATGAAAACAGTTTAAACCCAGGCTAACTGACCGACTAAAAAAAAACAGCATATGCGTACAAGAATTTGGAACCAAGCCTCCCTTGGCCCCCAGCACCAGAAAGGAGCACCCCAACAGCAGCTCGTTTCGCGCCCCTAGCCCCGTAGGCCCCGCCCCCCCGGGCCAAAGCCCGGCCGCCACATTTCCGGGTGAAGGGTGACCACGTGGTTGTCGCCTGTACCAACCCAGCACTGCTCCCGCCCACTGGCTAAAGCCAGAGAGCGACAGTTGACTACACCAATGGGATCCTCGAGCAGTAAGCGGCAGCGGAAGTGACCAATGAATGTGAGGTGGGTGCGAGTAAGGCGGGACTTTAAGTACGGAAGCTGCCCCGGGACATGAAGAAAGGAACGAGAGAAAGACCCGGTGAAGGGGCAGAACAGGCGGGTGAGAGCCTGGAAGAGCTCGGTAATCTGCAGCTTGGTGGGAAGAAAGGGGCTTCTAGGCTGGAAAGGGTGCAGAAACCTGCAGGCAAAGGAGACTGCGTTCTGGTCGGGGTGGACAGGGAACGCATTAATTAAAGGCCCAGAATGAGGTAGACATTTAAAGGGGCAGATGCCCCAAAGAGAAGAGACATTTAAACGCAAAATGCCCTAGGTAGACACTTCCGGAGACCGGCTCGGCCGACCGAAGACATTTAAAGTGGTAGGTTCTCGGGAGAGCAGGACATTTTAAGGAGACTAGAACTAGAAGATATTTAAAGGGGCATGAAGTGGGATTTGAGAACACGTTTATTAAAGAGACCGGACTAAAGGAGTCGCTTGTAGCGGATCTGGTTAGAGAAGACTGGGGGGTCTTCCTCCAAGAAGGAACGTGCACTCTGCTCTCCTCCATTGTCCTTTCTGGCTCCTCCAGGTTCCCTCGACCCCGGACTCTCTGTTCCCTGGCTATGGCCCCCAGTGCGCTGTAGACCTGGCGGGACCCCCGTGCTTGCGACCCCTATTTAGGGGTCTGGGTAGCTACTGGAGGGCCTTGCAGAGGGGCAGAGAAGGCAGGACCATGACATCTAGGGGCTCTGAACTTATCCCGGGCCGCAGCGTGACGGCTGGCATCATCATTGTTGGAGATGAGATCCTCAAGGTGTGTCTGGGACAGAAGAGGGGGGAGGGTGTGGTGTTGTCCAGTCCTTAGGGCCTGCTCCACATCCTGTGGAGGGAGGTGAAACGGGGTGGGAGCACCTTTACTGCAGTAGGATCCTGGAGTGAGTCCAACATATTGGAGGGATAGTAACCCTCATTCTCCGTTGAAAATTGTGTAGCAAAGTCCTCACAATTTGCCAAACAGTATAGTAGTGTGTGGATGGGCTACACAACTATGACAGCCCAGTGAGTAGAGGAGGTACAGGTGAATGTGATGTATACTTAAGAGTTACATGCTGCCGGGCACGGTGGCTCATGCCTGTAATCCTAGCACTTTGGAAGGCAAAGGTGAGAGGATTGCGGAGCCCAGGTATTCGATACCAGCCTAGGCAACACAGCAAGACCTCATCTCTGCAATAAATCAAAAAATTAGCTGGGCGTGGTGGTGCATGACTGTAATTCCAGCTACTAGAAAGGTTGGAGCTGAAGGATCACCTGAGTCCAGCAGGTCGAGGCTGCAGCCACTGCACTCCAGCCTGGGTGACAGAGTGAGACTTTGACTCAAAAAAATAAAAAAGAGTTACATGCAGCCTATTTGGAAAAGATTCAAGGCACTCAGCAGAGTGGATAAGTGTACTAGAAGGAAGGTGCTGGAAAGGAGGAATCCCTTCCAAATGATTAGGAAAGTCTTACTATAAAGCATGGCAGACATCAGGTTTGTAATAGTAATATTGGCCCTTATTTTATTTTATTTTTTTTGAGTTGAAGTCTCACTCTGTTGCCCAGGCTGGAGTGCAGTGGCACATTCCTGCAGCCTCGACCTGCTGGGCGCCAGCAATCCTTTCACCTCAGCCTTCCAAGTAGCCGGGACTACAGGCAGGTTCTACCACGCCCAACTAATTTTTTGATTTATTGTAGAGACGAGATCTCTCCATGTTGCCCAGGCTGGTCTCAAACCGTGGGCTCAGGTAATCCTCTCACCTCAGCCTCCCAAAGTGCTGGGATTATAGGCTTGAGCCACTGCACCCAGCCAGCCCCTATTTTTTTCAGTGCTTACTAGAAACTGGCAGTGTGCTTATTACATTATCTGTATGTGATTTTACTAATCCTCACAACAACCCCATGAAGTTGGTACTTTTATCATAATCGCAATTAGTTATGAAACTGAAGGTCAGAGAGGTTGAGAAACCTGCCCAAGGTCATACTTAGGAAGTGTTAGAGATGGGATTCCAACCTAACTCTCTCTTACTCCAAAACACAGGGAGTTAAATCACTAGACTCTTTGTAGAGAAGTAAGAAATGGGACAAGAAAAGATTGGGTGTACACCACAGACAGACAGCCTCACTCTGCAAAGAAACTTGAACTTTATTATTATTATTATTATTATTATTATTATTATTATTATTATTTTTAGTCAGGCTGGAGTGCAGTGGCACAATCACAGCTCATCACAGCCTCTACCTCCTGGTCTCAGGTGATCCTTCCGCCTCAGCCTCTCAAGTAGCTGGGACTAAGGCATGTGCCACCATACCCAGGCTAATTTTTTTTGTTTTTCATAGAAACAAGGTCTCATTATGTTGCCCAAGCTAGTCTCAAACTCCTGGGCTCAAGCAATCCTCCCACCTCAGCCTCCCCAAGTGCTGGTATTACAGGGAGCCACCACGCCTGGCGTGAACTTTATTCTGTATATATTTGGAAACAACAAATGGTTTTTGAGCCCAAGAATGATGCAATGGCAGTGATGCATTAGGAAGGTTACTCAGGAGACAGCAGAGTGCTGTGGCTGGAGGCTGGGACCCTGGCCAGGAGACTGTCATCATTATCCAGGTGAAAGGTGCCAAGGACCTACTTGGTGGCAGTGGGGACAGAGAGAAGAGACCAGATGGGGAGACATTTCAGAAGTACAGTTGACAGGATTAAGGGAATATCTGAATGTGGACAGTGTCTGGGGATGCCATTGACCAAAGTGACAACAGCCAGGGATACAGCAAGGCTGCCCAACCAGCCCTGGGAGCCAGAGGACTAAAACGGTTGGAATTGGTGAAGAAGTGGATGAGCTGTCCACATAGCATGATGATTGACCCCATTAACATAGGTGAGGTCAAGGTCAAAGTGCAGAAAAGGAGGCCTAAGAGGATCACATCATCCCAGACTCCATTCTGATGGATTGTCCTGCTCTTGTGCCCAGTGCAGGCCCCTCAGCAGCCTGAGGTGGTGTCTTCCAAAGAGCAGAGCCTCCCATCGGCAGGCAGATGCAACCTTGTCTCCTTCCCCCCCCCCCGCCCCCGCTCCTCCTCCCCACAGCACTGACAGTCTCATCCCCCCAATCCCCAGGGACACACTCAGGACACCAACACCTACTTTCTGTGCCGGACACTGCGTTCCCTAGGGGTCCAAGTTTGCCGTGTCTCTGTTGTACCGGATGAGGTAGCCACCATCGCAGCGGAGGTCACTGCTTTCTCCAGCCGCTTCACCCACGTCCTCACAGCAGGGGGCATCGGCCCCACCCATGATGATGTGACCTTTGAGGCAGTGGCACAGGCCTTTGGGGATGAGCTGAAGCCACACCCTGAGTTGGAAGCGGCCATCAAAGCCCTTGGAGTGGCAGGCTGGGAGAAGCTGTCCCTGGTGCCCTCCTCTGCCCGCCTGCATTACGGCACGGATCCACGCACTGGCCGCCCATTCCGGTTCCCGCTGGTCTCAGTCCAAAACGTCTACCTCTTCCCGGGCATCCCAGAACTGCTTCGGCGGGCACTGGAGGGACTAAAGGGACTGTTCCAAAACCCAGCTGTTCAGTTCCACTCGAGGGAGCTGTATGTGGCTGCTGACGAGGGCTCTATCGCCCCTATCCTGGCGGAGGCCCAGGCCCACTTTGGGCGTAGGCTTGGCCTGGGTTCCTACCCCGACTGGGGTAGCAACTATTATCAGGTGAAGCTGACTCTAGACTCAGAGGAAGAGGGGCCCCTGAAGGAATGTCTGGCCTACCTGACTGCCCATCTACCCCAGGGATCCCTGGTCCCCTACTTGCCCAATGCCGTGGAGCAGGCCAGTGAGGCTGTGTACACACTCGCTGAATCAGGTAGGGACTTACTGGAGGAGGGGCAGCATGCATTGGGCCGTGGGTGCCACTGTAGGTCTCAGTAATGCGGGGACTGTTGGGGGCTTCCTGCAAATCGGGGAGAGGGTAGAAAATGGCTACCATTGATTCATTCATTCTTCCAATAAGACAGTGTATACCCTGTTTCTGGGGACCATGGGTTAATAAGAAAAGGATACATTAAACAGGTGAACCAGAATGCAGCAATCTCCCGTAGCGGGGAAATCTTGATCTGGGTCTGAGATGGCCAAGTGTCAAATAAGCTGAGTGATAAGGAGACTTTGATCAGACTAGTAGGTGGGCAAGAGCAAACGGTATGAAAGAAGGCCTGGAAGGCAGCCAGAACAGCCCCTACTCCAGAGGAAAGACACTGATGCTGAGGTGAGGTGTGGCTGGGTGGCAGGTAGGGGGCAGACTCTGTGGGCTAGTGGGCAGCATGAAAGAGCTGGGACTTTATCTTAGGAACACCGGGAAGATGTCAGAGGGTTAAACAAGGGCAACATGGCCCCCACTCCCCCTTAATGGCCACATGATCTATCTGATGCTCTATTCCCTGCCGACATGGCAGGGTCTTCTCTGGGGGAAAAGGTGGCAGGTGCACTACAGACCATTGAGACTGCCCTGGCTCAGTACAGCCTCATCCAGCTCTGTGTGGGCTTCAACGGGGGCAAGGACTGCACCGCCCTCCTGCACCTTTTCCATGCAGCTGTGCAGAGGTGAGCTGTCCCCTGGGGAGCAAGACCTAGAGATAGCTATCTGTCTCATTCTCCAGTTCCCCATCCCAGAAAGCAGAGAGAAGGGGGTGCGGGTGGGGATCAGGAGGGAGGGAGCCATGGAGCCCTCAGTTCCATCCCCCCACCACGTTTATGGGGCATCTGACAGGTGCCTGGCTCTGGGTGTAGATGTGCAGGCCACCAGCACTGAGCACAGGGAAGTCACAGTCCTGTTAGGGAGGTGAGATTTACCTACCAAACAGAGATGCATACTCAGATTTGAGAGGTGAGAAGTCAGAGCAGGCTTCCCAGAACAAGTAGATCAGATGGATGGAAAGCGGAGAGGGGAGGGTGTCTGTCCCAGGAGCCAAAGAGAGCAGGGAGCTTTCTGGAGACCCATTTCTCTGTCCAGGCTGGCAAGCCTATGGATTCTCCCCCTTCCCAGGAAATTTCCTGATGTTCCAAAACCCCTCCAGATCCTGTATATCCGCAGCGTCTCCCCCTTCCCTGAGCTGGAACAGTTTCTACAGGACACCATCAAGAGGTACTACAGGCCTGGAGGTTTGGGGTCCGCAGGGGGCTTGGCAGGGCCCACTCCTGACCCCACTTGTTTCTTCCTAAGGTATAATCTGCAGGTGTTGGAGGCTGAGGGCAACATGAAGCAGGCCCTGGGGGAGCTCCAGGCACAGCACCCCCAGCTGGAGGCCGTCCTGATGGGCACCCGTCGGACCGACCCCTACTCCTGCAGTCTCTGCCCTTTCAGCCCCACAGACCCAGGCTGGCCTTCATTCATGCGTGTCAACCCATTGCTGGTAATGGGGAAGAGGTCTTGGTGCCTTTGGTCTTATGTCCCTGTCAGTCACTGCAGCCTGGCCCCCCTGGGGTTGAGGAGGCAGGGGCTTGGGGACCCCATCACCCAAGGGCGGCCATGCTGTTTGTTCATTCATCTTTTTTTACCAATGTTTGTTGAACCCTAGCTCAGTGGCAGGCATTGTACTTTCTACTGTGGGTAGAACAGTGATAGCCAGTAGCCATCTAGCTATACTTAAATTTTATTTTTGTTTATTTTTTTAGTCGGGATCTCACTCTGTTGCCCAAGCTAGAGTGCAGTGGCATAATCATGGCTCACCCCTCTTGGGCTCAGCCTATTCTTCTGCCTCAGCCTCCCAAGTAGCTAGGACTACAGGCACAAACCACCACACCTCATTTTATTTATTGTAGAGACTAGGTCTCACTGTGTACACAGGCTAGTCTCAAATTCCTGGGCTCAAGTGATCCTCCTGCATCAGACTCCCTGAGTGCAGGGATTATAGGTTTGAGCTACCTCACCTAGCCTTAAATTTTTTTATTTTTTTTGAGTTGGAGACTTACTCTATCACCCAGACTGGAGTGCGGTGGCTGCTCCCAGCCACCGCAGCCTCGACCTGCTGGGCTCCAGCTGTCCTTCCGCCTCAGCCTTCCAAGTAGTTGGAACTACAGGCGCGCGCTACCACACCTGGCTAATTTTTTGATTTATTGTAGAGATGAGATCTCGCAAGTTGCCCAGGCGGGTCTCGAACCGTGGGCTCAGGCAATCCACTCACCTCAACTTCCCAAGGCACGGGATTACAGGCTGAGCCACCGAGCCCAGCAGATGTACTCTTTCTGGGCGACTGAGTGAGACTCCAACTCAAAAAAAAAAAAAATTTTAATTAATTAGAGTTAAATACAATTTACTAGGAACCACTGAATTATACTTCAGAAGGATGTATTTTATGGTACGTGAATTATATACCACTTTTTAAATTTTGGAGTTAGAGTCTCACTCCGTCACCCAGGCTGGAGTGCAGTGGCATGATCACAGCCACCCCAGTGTCAACTTACTGGGCTCCAGCAAGCCTTCCGCCTCAGCCTTCCAAGTAGCCGGAACTGCAGGCACACACTACCACATCTGGCTAATTTTTTAATTTATTGCAGAGATGAGGTCTCACCAAATTGCCCAGGCTGGTCTCAAATCATGGGCTCAGGCAGTCTCCCTCACCTCAGTTTCCCAAAGTGCTGGGATTGCAGGCTTGTTGCCCAGCCATATCCCACTTTTAAAAATTAAGTATGAGCCGGGCATGGTGGCTCATGCCTGTGATTCCAGCACTTTGGGTGGCGGATGCAAGAGGATTGCCTGAGCCCATGGGTTTGAGACCAGCCTAGGGAACATGGCAAGTCCTCATTTCTACAATAAATCAAAAAATTAGCTGGGTGTGGTAGCATATGCCTATAGTTCCATCTACTTGGAAGGCTGAGGCGGAAGGATCGCCTGAGCCCAGCAGGTCGAGGCTGCTGTGGCCGTGAGCATGCCACTGCACTCTAGCCTGGGCGACAGAGTGAGACGCCGACTCACAAAAAAATGAATTACAGGGCCAAGTGTGGTGGCTCTTGCCTATAATCCCAGCACTTTGGGAAGCCGAGGTGTGAGGATTGCCTGAGCCTGTGGGTTCGAGACCAGCCTGGGCAACTTGGTGAGACCTCATCTCTATAATAAATCAAAAAATTAGCCGGGAAGGGTGGTATGTGCCTGTAGTTCCAGCTACTTGGAAGGCTAAAACTGAAGGATTGCCTGAGCCCAGCAGGTTGAGGCTGCGGTGGCCTGGAGCATGCCAGCACCCTCCAGCCTGGGTGACAGAGTGAGACTCCAACTCAAAAAAAAAAAAAAAAGAATGAATTATGATTAAAAATTCAGTTCTTGGCTCAACCTGTAATCCCAGCACTTTGAGAGACCAAGGTGAGTAGATTGCCTGAGCTTGCGGGTTCATGACCAGTCTGGGCAACTTGGTGAGATCTCGTCTCTACAATAAATAAAAAAAAATTAGCCAGGCGTGGTAGCATGTGCCTATAATTCTGGCTGTTTGGAAGGCTGAGGCAGAAGGATCACCTGAGTCCAGCAGGTCAACACTGGAGTGTCCGAGTGTGCCACTGCACTCCAGGCTGGGTGACGGAGTGAGACTCCCAACTCAAAAAAAAAATTCAGTTCTTCACTTTAGGAGGCCGAGGAGAGAGGACTGCCTGAGCTCAAGGGTTTGAGACCAGACTGAGCAACATAGTGAGACCTCGTCTCTACAATAAATAAAAAAAAAAAAAAATTAGCCAGGTGTGGTG